GGCAAGAGCCTCGCAGTGTTTGATGGTGTTTTAAAGCTCCACGCCAAGCCTCTTTTTGTTGACATCCACGGCCAAGGGCCCTACTTGAAGTGGGCAGAAATAGGAAAGCTCGACTGAGACCCCGTCGGTCCTGGGGTGGAGACTATTGCCAAGCCGTCTCCAGTTCTCGCTCTTGGGACAATTGGCGAGCGACTGGCATGGCGCGGCCAACGCAGCCAACCGTCTATAGAGGTGAAAGCCACAATCCGCAGAAAAATGCAAACGAGAGACTCGTCGCCACAATCCAGCAAATGCCAAACCCACGCTGGTGGCAGGAGCGCCCGTGAGCGCACCCCGATGCCACCCTGCGCGGCAGGCGAGGCAGTTGAACTGTTTATCTCCAGATCCTCTTCTTCTGGGTCTGACCATGCATTGTCAAGCTTGGAAGTGCCTGGAGGCAGGCCTTTTCTGCACACTTCCTCAACAGCTGCTTGCCATAGTGATTCGAAAGAAAAACGGGGGGAACTCCCCCCTCACATTCCCCACAGCTTATGCGGCTATGCAACCACAGCCCAGACACACCGTGCCCCTCAACTATGTAGGACAACTGAAGCCTTTAAGAAGAGATGCTCGGTCACCTGCCTTCCCGCGTTGGCCAATGCCCGCGAGGGCACACGTGGTGCTCAGCATGTTCTGTGCATGCCTCTCTCCTTCTGGCATCTTCGGGCCCCCCCACAAGCCTTCTCTGTTTTCCCAGCCTGCCCGGTGCACGAATCACCTTGGCGGGATTGGTTCCCTACTTCACCAAGTCTACCTTGGCCGTCACAATCTACCAACCTCCGGTTCATGTAGAGGGACAGGCCCGACTTACCACAGAGGGTGAAACAATGCAGCTCCAGGCCTCTCAGCCGGGCTGCAGATTATGTGCGCGAGCCAATGCGGGGCCGAGCCTCTCCAAACATCGTCGGGCAGGAGAACGTGAGGCGTCATGGCGTTGCACGCTAAAGCGCTCATGCCTTAAGCTTATGTTGCCCCCATCGTACTTAAGGAACACATCCCAGAAATAATTTCGAGCACCCAGAAACGCGTCGAAAGACTGTCGAAACAGCGTCGGACGAGTGTCTCCCAGGGACCGACACGTGAAAACCCTGGAGTTTGTGGGTGCTTTTCTGGCGCTCGTAACTCTTTCTGGTGATAAAGGCTAGAGTAGGTTGGAACATCATAACCTTAAGCGTGAAAACATTAAAGTGCACGTTCAAGGCGGAACGTCTAGACGATTTGCAGGGGCCATGGGGCAAACAAATAAATAGACACAAGTAACAGGATTCCCCATCTGTCATATATTTTCTGGGTTTTTGTTTTTCCCCCCGCTTCCTATGTTTTCCCCATCTTTTCTGTGGAATCGACGATTAATGTTGGCTGTGTGTTTTTTCCCTCCTGACTACTGACATCCCCAATATCTTCAGGCCCCGATGGCGCGACAACTTCCCACGCGCGGGCGGGGAGCTCGCGTGCGGGAGCGGGGCCTCGTCGATTGAAATTGGACATCGGCTTCCGTGTGACAATGCATTCTGGCATGGGGGGGGCATGGCGCAACGGCGGCGCGCCCGACTCCAAATCAGAAGGTTGGGAGCTCGAATTTCTCTGCCCTCGTGTTGCTTGCTGGCAGGGTGGACAGCGCGCCCAATGGCAGCGAGGCCGGCCGGGGGGGATGAGCCAGCGGAGCCTCCGACCCAAGGATATGTCGGTTTTGGCCTCGGCTCGCGAGTCCCTGCCCTCGGCAGGCCCCGCAGAGGGGCGAAGCGGGCGAGACTCTGGTCCGTGCCGAAGCGACATGGGCGGGGCGAGCTGGGCGAAGCGGTCTGGGGAGGAGTGGTCTGGGCGAAGCGGTCCGCGGGCACCCATCCCAGAGGGCCAGGTCGCCGAGGCGAATGCAACCCACTGGCCCCTTGGCCTCATGGATAAGGCGTCGGCCTCCGGAGCCGGAGGCTCCAGGCTCGAGTCCTGGGCGGGTCACTTGATGGCGGGCACGGAGGCGCACTCTGCGCGAGGGGGGCGCGGCGCCCCTGCCAGCCTGCCGAGAAGTCGTGATGCCCGCCGGGCTTCCCCACGAAGGGGTTCGCGTGCCCGCCGTGCCGCTTCCAGAAGATCTTCGCGGCCAGTGCTGGCCCACCAGCGCGGGAGGCTCGTCGTTTCCACGGCGCTGCTCCTCAGGCAGGTGGTGCCCGCGCTTGTTCCGCAGGTCCACGAGCTCGTTCGACGGCCTGACGTCCATGTACCAGCCGCCAGGCCAAATGTCTGGTGCGTTCAGGTCGCAGGGCCGCCAGCGCATCTCGTCAATCGTCGGGGCTGTCAGCCTGGCGTCAATGTGCGGACTCCTCTTATCTCTGCGTAGTGCGAGTACTTGTAGATGACGTCATCGGTGGACATCGCGATATTGTGGATGTGACGGGAGGCCACGACAGGCGTCATCTTGCCAGAACTGCCAATGCGGGCATCCTCCTTGTCGATCCTGCCATCC